CGTATCGCAAAAAAAAAAAAAAGAGCTGTGTCTAGTCCTGGATTTCAGATTTTTTAAGAAAGTGGAGAAACTGGAAAGGATCCTAAGAAGAAATACTAAAGGTACTAAAGAACCTAGAAAGAAAGGTTGACAGATGCTGTGATTCGGTCTACAGACAAGGTACTGGGAGATAACTTGGCAGCCTGCAAGTACTTGTTCCATTTAAAGAAAAAAGAGAGATTGTGTAGACATTCTCCATATTCGACGATTATAGAACGAAATGGAGCAGGCTCATTCAGCCTCAGTTAAAGGAAAAGAAAAATTCGGCGTCAGCTAAAGGAAAAGCAAATAATTCCTGATCCTAGGCACCTGCAGTGACAGCAAACATGGGTTGCTGAATGTATAGATATCCAGTATGACTCTTCCAATTCACTACTGTTGGACATTTAGCGTCTTTCTAAATTTATTTTTTCCCTTACCGATAGTGCTGTGATGAACACCCATGTAGGTAAATCTCTGTACCATTCTTAACATTCCTTTAAAATATATTCCTTAAAGGGTAATTACTGGTTCAATGGATAGGCATGTTTTTAAGGAGTTTGACAGAACTGCCAAGTTGGCCTCCAGAAAAATCTTCTGGTGAGAGAGTGCTCTTATCAGTTTGCCCAGCACTCTGTCACTCTGTTAGTTCTTCAGGATTTTACCTTACCTTCTCCACTAGTGTCCCCTTGGTTGGGATCAACTGTCTTTGCCATTAAAGATTTGAAGGTGACTATACTCTTTTGTACCTTCCATGGCTCTGCTTCATAGAAATGACTCTGGTTACCTTCTTTTTGTTTTTTCAGAGTACATCCCTAGTTTGGAAAACCACTGAGAGATAAGTAAACAATCAAAAGATAACCAGAAACAAACCCCCCATATGTTTGGAAATTAAGAACTGTGCTTGTATAGATAAACAACAATATCCTACTGTATAGAAGAGGGAACTAATATACATACACACACACATACATACATATATATGTAACTGAATCACTTTGCTGTGTACCAGAAACTAATACAACATTGTCAATCAGCTATACTTCAACTTTTAAAAATGTGCTTCTCAAGAACATATGGATTAAAGAAGAAAGCTGTTGAAAACTAGAGCATATTTCAGGTTGAATAATCGTGAAAATACTGCATAGCAGAACTTGTGGGTTGCTACCAAAACGTAACTAAAAGGAACCTTGCAGCTTTAAGAAAAGAATCAGCAGTGAAAATTAATGAGCTAATAAGAATCCAGCTCAAGAAGTTAGCCAAAATGAATGAATCAATGAGTGAATGAATTTAATGAAATCCTTGAGGTCAGTACTCCTTACGCATCTTAGTACAGCTCCTTGTTTCCAAAACAGTGCTCAATAAGTGGAACTTGATGAACATCAGATTGGATTGGTTCAGTCTTCAAGGCCATGATTCTAAACACATGGTATTTCCAAACTGTCAAAGGTAGAGTATTCCCAGTCTGATTGATCTGCCAAGATAATCCTTCCAAGTGTCACTTAACTTCTTGGGGCAGTAGATTCTGACTTGAGGAATGGAAGACACCTAAACGATGGTGGATTTACGTGGTCTGGTTGAGATGAGCACAGTGTACCAGGATTGCAGCCACCTGGATTATGGTGAGGCTGCATCTTCTTATCTCTGGGCACCCCAGAAGAGTGTTTTGTGTGTATTCTACTAAAAATGTTTTGGAGATAAAGGCTAAAGATAAGTGCCTTTGTACCGTTTCATTAAACACACAGCTTTTGATCATCAGAGACCAAGAAGAGGGCCCAATCCTGTGCCTTCTACATAGGCAGCTGTCTGCTGCAGTTAAAGAAAGCTTTGCATGTGTAAGGGACACAGGATTGGGCTCTGGGGATCAATTTTATTTGAGGAAAAAGAAGTGACTTTAATTTCATTAATGGTCTCCAGGATGATTGTGCTACCAGTTTAATTCTCCATTAAATGTGCATGCTGCGTGGCGCTCCGTTTCTTGCCTTTAGTATCATTGAGCTCCAGCTGACACTAACCTGTTTTCTATTTCATAACTGAATCACAGGGCTTTTTCAGGAGAAGTCAGCAAAGCAATGCCACCTACTCCTGTCCTCGTCAGAAGAACTGTTTGATTGATCGAACCAGTAGAAACCGCTGCCAACACTGTCGATTACAGAAATGCCTTGCCGTGGGGATGTCTCGAGATGGTGAGCACCCGCAGCCTGCGCTGTACAGTAGCACGGGGTTGCGAAAGTGCCCTCGGAAGCCTGGACCCAGATCTGCCAGAATATGTCACCTCTGTGCCTCCACCCCCTCCACCCCTGCCTCCTCTGGCGGCTTTGTGGGTGTCACAGCGGTTACTTCTCCATAAACCATTCCAGTCAGTTCACTAGCTGATGGGGGGCTGGGGGCATGGAGGAGAATTGGCTATGTGGTCAGAACACCTTCAGACTTTTGACAGGGGTCCCTTGGGCTTCCCCGGTGGCGCAGTGGCGGAGAGCCCGCCTGCCGATGCGGGGGACGCGGTTTCGCGCCCCGGTCCGGGAGGATCCCACGTGCGGCGGAGCGGCCGGGCCCGTGAGCCACGGCCGGCTGAGCCTGCGCGTCCGGAGCCTGCGCTGCGCAACGGGAGAGGCCGCCACAGTGAGAGGCCCGCGTACCGCAAAAAAAGAAAAAAAAACAGGGTCCCCAACCCCCAGGCCACGGACCCTTACCAGTTAGGAACTGGGCCACACAGCAGGAGGTGAGTGGCAGGCCAGCAAGCTAGTGAAGCTTCATCTGCTGCTCCCCCATCGCTCGTATTCCCGCCTGATCTCCCCCCTCCCCCATCCGTGGAAAAATTTTCTTCTATGAAACCAGTCCCTGGTGCCAGAAAGGTTAGGGACTACTGGTTTAAAACATTACATGTGGATGAATTGATGGAAGGTAAGTGTAACCTGAGGGTCTTAAAAAGGATACCTTCTAGAAGCATTTTTCCCCACAGAAAACACAAGCCAGAGCTAATTGTTACATGTCTTACACTAGTAAGGTTATTGGCAGTTGGGACGAATTAGCTTTTATGCTAACTGGATCCAAAGTCAAACATTTGTACATACAGTATGTGTGAAAATAGTGCAAAGCATGCCCAAGTGACAAATGTTCTTTTCATTAAGAGAAGCTATTTTAAGAACTAGAGACCATCTACCATTCATTTGCAAAACAGTTCAGGATCTTCCTGGAAAAACTGTCTTAAGTGCACGGAATAATCAACACCAGATTTTAAGACTATTCTTATATAAGGAAATTGGGCAGTTAGTGTAGTGGATAACATTTTAAGGACTTTTCCAAATATACTGGCTGGCTGGTTCTCTTGAGAGATCCCTTTGAAGGAAGCATCTCTTCCAGTGGAGTTTCAGCCTGTGGAAAAATAACTTCAGACTGCTGGGCAGGCGTTCTGAAGGTCTCCTTTCCCCATAATCAGATGTTCTTGGGACCTGTGGACCCACCCAGGCACAAGTTGTACACAGGGTGACCTCTTAGAATTTGTAGGGCCAAAGTGAAGTTTTGGGGATTGGAGGATGCAATCTTCCGATGTACTTACACTGAACTTACACTGTATTCTCAGAAATTCCTGTGATACGCAGCTCTGCAGATTTCACCTTCCAGTGGCACTAAACTCACAAAATTAGGTATATCTCTTATGAATCTGTAAGTTAAAAATCACAAGTTGTGTGTGTATTTTCTCAAGACCCAATCCGGGGACTTCCCTGGCAGTCCTGTGGTTAGGGCTCTGGGCTTCCACTGCAGGGGACGTGGGTTCGATCCCTGGTCAGGGAACAAAGATCCCACAAGACGCACAGCACAGCCAGAAACAAAAAAACCTGATCCATTCATTTCACTTACGGGATAGTATGATTACTGTTGTTAATATTAAGAAAAGAGTTAAAACACAATTCAGAGTCATAGCAGAACAAGCTTCCCCCTTTGGGTATTCATCCCCTTGGGGGTTCCAAAGTATTCTTTTCAAAAAAATTAAGTACCTTCAGTATGCCTTGTGGAGATTTCTCGTATAAGTGACAGCACACTTCGTTGTGGACTTGGAGTGAATTTGGGGACTTATACAATTACAGGCCTGAAATTCAGAGCCCACATCAGCCTGACTGCTGTCTAACCAGCCCCACCCAAGTTTGTCACCTGACTTGTGGAAACTGGAAATTGACCAGAATCCAGCTCACTTGTTTCCTTTGTGCAGAATGAAAGCACATCCTCCTTGGCAGGAAAAAGATCCACCAGCTGGCCTGGACAGTGGGCCCTGATTCCCAACTTCACTTCCATCTATCCTGCCTCCTGCCCCAAGACTCATAGAATTATGTTGATGGTCAGATGGGTGAATTCATCCACCTGGTCAGGTATCAATTTAACCATAATCAATTAGGAGGTTTTAATCCCTCCAGCAGCGGCTTTATCTACACATACAGAGTCAGGCTGAGAAATAAATGGGTTAGTGGGGGGTTCAGACCAGGAAATCATAGGATTTATTTTCTCAATCATCTGGGTGTTTTAGGAGAAATCATTTGGGATTCTAAATGAACTGGAATATTACTCCAGTCAGTGTTCCACTTTAAATATGGGGACACGTCACACGGAGAAGGGCTGCACACACAAATTCTCCCGATGGGGATCTTCCACAGAGTCTGCCCTTTCCAAAATTCTGATATTCTTTTTACTTGCGGCTAAATGAGAACAGCAGAAAGTGCCCTTTAAAGATGGGTCCAAGGCATGGAAGCAACCTAACTGTCCATCGACAGATGAATGGATATAGAAGATGTGGCACATATATGCAATGGAATATTACTCAGCCATTAAAAGAAACGAAATTGTTATTTGTAGTGAGGTGGATGGACCTAGAGTCTCTCTTACAGAGTGAAGTAAGTCAGAAAGAGAAAAACAAATACCATATGCTAACACATATGTATGGAATCTGAAAAAAAAAAGGTTCTGAAGAACCTAGGGGCAGGACAGGAATAAAGACACAGACATAGAGAATGGACTTGAGGATAGGGGGAGGGGGAAGGGTAAGCTGGGACAAAGTGAGAGAGTAGCATGGACATATATACACTACCAAATGTAAAATAGCTAGCTAGTGGGAAGCAGCTGCATAGCACAGGGAGATCGGCTCGATGCTTTGTGACCACCTAGGGGGCTGGGATAGGGATGGTGGGAGGGAGACGCAAGAGGGAGGAGACGTGGGGATATATGTATATACACATATAGCTGATTTACTCTGTGATGCAGCATGAAACTAACACACCATTGTAAAGCAATTATACTCCAATAAAGATGTTAAAAGAATAATAATTTTAAAAAGACAGGTCCAAGGGTCTCACAGGGACCTCAAGACCCAGGAGCAAGAGAAGGCATAGACTCAAGAGATGTAATTCATGGAATTGCAAATGCTTCGTCCAGTCTGTTGAGCTTTCTCAAGGAAGCACCAGATTTGGCTGTTTGATCAGGAAGAAACTCATGTAAGCATACGGATTAGTGAAATGAGTGCAAATTGAGGTTTGACTGCTTGTGCCCCGATAACACCTCCGTGAGTCTGTGCGTCCCTGTGCTCTGGTGTGAACACTGGGAAGAGAAACATCTAGACCAACTGCCTGGGTAGAGAGGGAACAAGCCCATTAAGTCGAATTTCAGTAGCTCCCACTGAGCCTAGGGTTGTGTGACAGCACAAAAACGTAGGTGGTCATTGCTCTGGGTCTCTTCTATCAGCCCTGGGTCTGTTTTTGAAACGCAGCTCCTCTGGGATGTGTCTTTGCTGTTCGGGATGTGGAACAAGCCTGTGTGAGGTGGGACCATTTATTTTCACCTCAGGATCACGTCCTTATTTTGTGGTTGTGTGGTTTTTCATGGAATTGTCTGCAACTTCAAAGGAACTCCTAAAGCATGCTGGAGAGGATCATGGAGAAAATCGTGTTGTATATGGTGTGCCTTGGCTTTTTTCTTCCAGCTGTAAAATTTGGCCGCATGTCGAAAAAGCAACGAGACAGCTTGTACGCAGAAGTACAGAAACACCGGATGCAGCAGCAGCAGCGAGACCACCAACAGCAGCCTGGAGAGGCCGAGCCGCTGACTCCCACCTACAGCATCTCGGCCAACGGGCTTACGGAGCTTCACGACGACCTCAGCAGCTACATTGACGGGCACACCCCCGAGGGCAGCAAGGCAGACTCTGCCGTCAGCAGCTTCTACCTGGATATACAGCCTTCCCCGGACCAGTCAGGTCTTGATATCAACGGAATCAAACCAGAACCAATATGTGACTACACACCAGCATCAGGCTTCTTTCCCTGCTGCTCCTTCATACTGCTCCTTCACTAATGGAGAGACGTCTCCACCTGTGTCCATGGCAGAACTAGGTAATGGCTTCCGTGTTTCCATTGGGATGGACTACTTGTGCCATTTGAAGGAAATGGGATTTGTCTGACTTTCCTTTAATGAGTTATGTTATTAAAATGATGCATCTAGAAGGGCGAGTCACCTTTACCATTTGGACCACTTCATAATTCCAACCTGCCCTCTTGTTTTTGACTGTCCACTGTTTCCCATCATATATCCAAGAAACTCAGTGACCTCTCGGCATCAGAGCTGAGACAATACGAACTTAAAGCAATCTTTAAATTCCACAGAAAACTGTAAGTTCAGGGAATGGCCCCATTAAGTCCACTGATTTAGTTATGTTCTAAGTATTGCTTTATACCAAAAGTTATAAAAATAGCAACCCACAAACTTAACCTGGCACATAGACATGCGTTTTTGACCAGTGCAGAGCTTTACAATTTTTGAATTGGTTGCTAAAATTTTAAGCCTGGACAATTTCACCTGAAAGTTCAGATTTTCATTTTCTTGTGGAAGGAAAAAAAAAAAAAGATCTAGTTACACTGGACCAGCATTTGGGAATGGCAACAACCAACTGGTACCACTTAGGGCCTAACGCCTTGAAATGGGTGCATCCCACTCGGCATTTATATCACTGCCCAGTCCCCTTACGCATCTAAGTTTTGTAACTCTGACACATTCTATAATCGTTAAAGGGAAATTAGCTTCTTTATTTGCCAAAATGTTTTGGTGATGGATACTAATGCAAAACTGATGTATTTCATAGAAGACTCACCATGCCAAAAAAAACCCCCACAAAAACCTGTCATTTCCTTATTCCTGTGACATTGGTGCTTCTTGGGAGATGTGACCTAGAAATGTTAACACAGACAATGGAAAACTTTTCATTTCAAGGAAGTTGTGGTATAACATCCTCTGTTATATTTAATCGATTTTTAAGTACAGCACTATTATTAGAGAAACTTTGATAAGGACCTTTACTGTTTGAGAATTTGATCTACTCCTCCCCATGGTTCCTCACACAAGGTTATAATCCTTTGGGTTATTTCAATTAGTTGCTATGAAGATGACTAAGTTAAGACGAAGAGAGAATGAAGACTTCACATGGAAAAGAACCAGCAGGTTCTGACTTGAGCACAGACGTCCTTAGTTCACAGAAATAATGGTTGTGTTCTTTAGACGGTTTCTCCACCTCTGTACCCCATAAAACATTTTTTAAGTGAAATTTATATTTCCAGTAAAATCTTTCTCCAAATAGAACAAATTGAATGTTCTTTACGGTTTTTACACAAGCACCTCTTTATGGGTCTAAATTTAAATCCTCAGGAGCAGGGACATTTTAAGCCTGGTCTTTAACCACTGAACAGCATTAAAGGTGTATCACAGCTCTTTTGATTAACAGAGAAACCTCTGAACTAGAAGCCAAGCTGAGCCAGAGCTAGGCTTGGTTTTTTTTTTTTCTTTTTTTTTTTCTTGAACTAGAACAAAAACCTTCCGTTTTTGTCGTGAGATCTTGGTTGACTCGAGCCTTAAGCAGAGCTGTAATGAAAGTAAAATTTTCAGAAATGAATAAGGATTTGATTGAAAACTGACATGATACAGTGAAAAATGACCTAGCTCGCTTTAGGTTTGCTTCTCCTTTATCATAAATACTAGTGAGTCTATGCCATTTGCTTGTCGAATGTTCAACCCAGAAATAAACTCACACCGCTTGGCCTAAGTGTGTCCCTTGAACATGGCACTTGGGCTAAATGTGCACTAATACCTAAGTGGAGCCAGAAGTGGCTCAGCCGATTTCCCCAGCCCCTCCTTCACCCACAAATCCCTTTCCTCTTCTACAGCTGTCACCTCCCAGTGAGTCTGAGAGCCCTGTGCCCTCATCCATTCTCCATGTTCTCCTAAACTAGGGATTTTTCACACGTAATTGTGGCATTTTTTTTCCACGATGAATAAAACTAACTCATCGCTAGGATTTGCCCCAAACCCCAAACTAAACAAGAATTTCGTTGAAAGGGATATAATGGAGCTCTGATTTTCTGTCCCATTTACAGGTGCGGAATAGTTTGAGGAGCTAAGAGTAGCGTAAAAGCAGCCAGAGACCTTGCTGCTACTTCTTCAAAGCTCTCTGAAGTTCCCTGACATTTCCTTGGGGGCTTAAGTCCGACTCTCCCTTTAACTAACTTGACTTCATTTTAGGCTAAATTTTATCATCAGATTTGAAACAAATGAAACCATTTGTGCAATTGCAAAATAAATTGTAAATTAACGTATCCTAAGCTCAGTTCTGTCTTTCAACAATAGTATCTACTAATCCATTACTGTTAGTGGAAATACATCTGCATTCCTGGCTACGAAATTCTGCCCTTGATGTACACTTAGTACCTGAATTATACATTCCAGATAAACTACCTAGGTTCCTTTTTAAAAAAAAGCTAACTGGGGAATTCCCTGGCGGTCCAGCATTAGGACTCAGTGCTTTCACTGCCATGGGCCCAGGTTCCATCCCTGGTCGGGGAACTAAGATCCCGCAAGCCGAGCTGCACAGCCAAAAGAAATAAAAAAGCTAACTGCACTTATGACTATAATTAATAACTAAAGCCTTGTACATAAGAGATAACTGATAATGTTGGGCAAAGCATGAGACAAGAAGTCAGCTTCTGTGGGTTGTGGTCCTAGCTTTGCTGTAGGTTGCACAACCTAGTATAAGTCATGTTACCTCTGCAAGCTGCAGTCTCCCTACCCATGGACTGTAAAGATTCAGAGCATAGACTCTGGAGCCAAATTGTGTATGTTTGAATCACTGCCCACTTGCCAGCTATGACACCTTGAAAAGTCACTTAACCTCACTGTGGCTTGGTTTTTTCATCTGTAAAATGGAGATAATACTAGTATCTTCCCCCTAGAGTTGTCATGAAGGTTAAGAAAAAATATTTGTATATATATACAGTATATAGATAGATAGATAGATAGATAGATAGATGATAGATAGATAGATGTAGGTAGGTATGTTATATTAGTCTGTTATATGAGTCTATGTTGTATAGAGTTTACATAGTAAACTCTACCTAAGTGTTAACTTTTATCATCATTGTTAATGTTATTATCTACAAAGTGATGAGAGTTTGGACCAGATGATACCTAAAGTTCCATACCACTGTGAAAACCTGTGACTTTCTCAGAAGACAGGATTTTCCATCTGAAGTATCTAGACCTTGGCTGTCCTGATGAAGCCATCATAGTTGAGGAGGTGAACTGATTTGCCTGTCACAAAGTGAGTTACCCAACTGAGCTCAGACCAGAAACCAGGTCTCCTAACTCCTAGTTCCAAGGTATTTCACTATTCCAGACTGCTTGTCTGAGAGACCACACTAACTTCTTAGCTTTTACTCAGTCTGACCATATTCTCCTTTGCTGAAATGGAGGCTTAAAAACAGCACAATGTCTAAAATCTTACACTTGCCAAATCAAGTATGAATTTTGATCAAAGGCAGCTGGTGCGAATGCAGCCACTGCCCTCTACTGGTCATTGGACATTGCATCATTTGTTGTTGCTTCTAAAAGCTGGCCTCAAATAGGTAGGGATGGGTGGGGACAATTTTTACGATGAAGTGAAACAAGAAGATGCTGTGACCATATTAACTGGAAACAAAGCATGATCTGGAAGAGAATACTGTGAGCTTCTTCCCATTCTTCCCTTCCTAGGATTCTCCCAGCTTCCCTCTGAACATTTTCATCATTTCTTTCATAGTTACAAAAATTGAATTTACTATGTACACACTTATTTTCTTGTTTCTGATTCCCCATTATTTTGTCTTTATTCCCCCCTTCTCTTCACACACGTCACTGATTCTAAGACATAGACATCATTTCTTTCTCTCTCTGTTTCTGTCTCCTTTAAATTTTTTTCTTTTGTTGATGTTTTATTTTTTATGATATTTACTTATGTTGTTTTCATGCCTGTGTGTTGCCAAGTAGAGCTGTTAAGGTTTATCGTGCTTCAGTGTTTCAGAATCTCTGAGGAGGTTCTAGTCTCGAGCTTTGTTTAGGTGAACCTGCTCTGTTTTCACACAAACAAATCCAATTCTGTTTGACCTAAGCAGTAACAAATTTCCAAACAGACACTCTTACTAGTGTTGCTAAGTTTGCCCTCAGCACCACTGTTTTAAATAACTTTCCTATTATATATTCAAGACCCTGGAAGGGGCATCACTTTGGGGTATGGTTTTGTATTCTTGGAGTCTTGTCAGTTCTTCTTTTAAAATACTTCTTGAATTGTCCTTCCTTTCCATAACAATTATTAGCAACCTATTTCAAGCTCTTAGTCCCTTACATGTAGATTTCAGCAGCCTTCTAATTGATCCTCCTGCCTCCAGTCCACCAATGACAAAACCTCTTGTTCTGTTTCCCCAAATACAGTGTTCAGCATGTCAGCTCCCTCTTGAGACTCCTGCTGACTCCTTTTGTTAATCAAGTCCGTACTCTCAATCTCAACATTCAGGATCCTTCAGGATGTGAATGGTTCTCTACCCATATTTCTGTTTTGACACCATCACTTTATCACATCTTCCTGTCTCCTGTAGATGCCATATCCATTCTTTCATCTACCATCCCTTGAACGTGGAACCGGTCCACTGCCTCACACACTGGCCTCTGCCTACCAAATCCTCCCCTTCCTTCAGGGGCCAATCCAAATGTTCCTCTTCTGTCAAGAAGCATCCCCTAATTCCCCTCATCTCTCTGATAGCACCTATTATGTTTTTATTTTTCTTTCTCTTCTAGTAGAATTCAACTTCATGCTTTATTGTCTAGTGTCTTGAATTGTCCTTTCAGCATGTATGTACATGTTCACCAGATTATAAGTCCCTAGAGAAACTTATTTGGCATCTATTTCTTTTAATATCTTCAAATTCGGTACACTTCAGGATAATAAGAACAAATGTTTATGTAGCAGATGCTATGTTATCCTCTCTATTCTAAGTGCTCAACTCACTTAATTTTCACAGATGCCCTATGATAAATAGGAAATTAGGTACTATTTTCCTCATTTTACAAATAAAGAGACTGAAGTGCAGAGAGGTTAAGTAACTTACCCAAGATCACACAGCTACTAAGTAGCAGAGCTGAGATTCAAACCCAAGCAGTCTGGGTCCAGAGTCCATCTCATCTCTTAACCACCACACCATATATATATATATATATATATATATATGTGTATATATATATATATATATATATATATGTATATATGTATGTATATATGTATATGTATATGTATATATAGTGACATAGTAGGCTTCAGTAATGCTTGTTCTGCCATTTTTGCAGGAAAAACAAAAGAAATACGCAGTTGTTGTCCCACCAAAAATACCATTTTCTAATTTTTCAAGAGTAATCCTCCACCAGTCAATGTATATGGCAGATCTGTCTTCATAAAAATACCAGGTACAGGTCGTGTCAGTCATTTTTCCCACTTCTCTAGGTCAATATTTTCAACTCCAACATTCACTCCCAGACGCTGGTGTAAAGGCACAGAGAAGGTCAGGTCAGGAGGGTCTTTGAAGATGCCAAGCCTTATTGCTAAATGTTGGCTTTGCCTGTCCTTTATCCTCATGTCCCCAAATATAGAATAGTTCCAAATTGCTTACTTAAATATGTCGAGATCATTAAAACTGGTTCAGCCATGTTGCTTTATACTTGTTACTTTTTAAATCAAATATTAAGTAGGGAAAACCCTGAAGAACTTGGCTTTTCATGTTGTGATCTCCTGTTTTCTCCTTAGAACACCTTGCACAGAATATATCTAAATCACATCTGGAAACTTGCCAATACTTGAGAGAAGAGCTCCAGCAGATAACGTGGCAGACCTTTCTGCAAGAGGAGATTGAGAATTACCAAAACAAGGTAGACTGAAGAATTGTACCTAAGATTGAGGCAATGTTGGGAAGGGTGTTTGTGCAGGAGGTTTGAATACAAACAGACCAAAGAATGAATGTTTTTCATCAGATAGCAGATTTCTATTTAAAAATCTGTCTTCCAGAGCTGATCACGTTCTTGGGGCTTTGTCACCTTATTGAGATGTCAGTGTGCGAAATTTCAGAAACAGCACACAGATTCTGTTGTTCCTGTAACTATACACATATGTCCTGTGATTTGTCAACAGGGAGCTAGATTAAGGAGCTTCCAAAAGGCTCAAAGAATTGGGATTTGTCCCGATATCACAATGGAAGATTTCACGGTCCAGAAGTTGATGTAAAATAGTCTCAGCCTCATGGTTCCGGAGTTAAAAAGGAGGAGTTTAGAGAATATGTGTAAAAAAAAGCTTGGAAGCTATGATTCTAATTCCAGTCTGAATCTAGCAACATGAGGCTGGCAAGTAGTACTGCCAGTTACCTTTTTCTATAAAACAGTCCGATCAACAAATTACCTAAGTGGGAGGGCAGGGCTGGAGAAGAAGGACTTTTAATTTTCCATTCTGCCCTTTAGTAGAAGAAAATGCTGTGATTTTTCCCAATAATCATAGAAATTTAGGCTGAGGAAGTACCATAGAGATTATCAAGGTTAATCCTCCCCTTCATTTTACGTATGAGGAAACGAGCATCCCTTGGGCACATGGCTGAGAGTGCAAACATCAGGACTAGACCATGAGTCCTGGTTCCTAATTCAGTGTTTCTTCCCTCCTGTTGTATTGGTAGAAACAGTCTTAAACTAAGATTGGGGAAATAAGTGAGCAACAAGATGGATCCAGGTTAGCCTGTAACTAAATTGGAGAGTGGGTATATAAAAGGAATTAAACAGGACAGGTTGGGGGAATAGCAGCGCATCACCTTGTTTACCTTTGAGTTAGCAGGTGACACCGGCCGCCAGAATTACAAAGGGAAGCAAGAGAGCAATAAACAGCAGCAAGGTGTGTGAAGTGGGATTCAGAGTCAGAAATGCTGGGATTTGAATCCCACCTCCAATACCTCTTAGGTGTGAAACCTCTGTGAGCATTTGTGTCCATTTATGGGAAATGGAAGAACATTCTTGTGAAAATGAAATGAGACAAGGATGTCATAAAGCACCCAGCTCATAGCAGGTGCACAATAAATACAACTGACTCCCCTTTCCTTCCCTTCCCCCAGTAAAGTGGTGTGAAATTCCCCAAGGCAAAATAATTGCTTACAAGGAGATTCTACTTTGCTACTCTCCGTGGCCCAGGGTTAAATCAGTGGCGTGAGTTGCTTTCTTGACTCCGGTTTTCATCTTCTGCTGCATGTATGCTCATAACATCTTCCCCCTGTCCCTTTGCCACCAAAATGGTAAGAGAGGAATTGGAGGAGACCAGGAAGAACTTGGAAGCAGTCATTATAACGGAAGTAACTGGCCAACTGATTATTTTTAAATCCTCTAGCTTTTCTGGATCCATTTCCAAAGAAGGATTTTACACAATAGGAACAGTTAAAACAACTGTGTCAAGGGTATGGGTAATGGGGATGTTAATGTGTTTCCCTCTTCAACAGCAGCGGGAGGTGATGTGGCAGTTGTGTGCCATCAAAATTACAGAAGCTATACAGTATGTGGTGGAGTTTGCCAAACGCATTGATGGATTTATGGAACTGTGTCAAAACGATCAAATTGTGCTTCTCAAAGCAGGTATGTGCTTTGCAAGTGAATTTTGAGTTCTCTGACTAACCTGCTTTCACCGGCTTATTAAAGAAATGCTTGGTAAGGAAGGTGTCGAGAACAGTTTTTCTCCAAATGATAATAGCTCAGTTTCTCTTAGCAGAAACTGAGAGGTTTTTTGTTTTTGTTTTTGTTTTTTTTAAGGTTTTTGAGCTATTTGCAGGAAATATTCCCTCCATTTTGCTTCTCCTCTGGGTGAAAAGATTAATTTGAAAGACACCTGCATTCCACAGTTTTAACCATCACCTGTGTTTTGTTTCTGTGCCCCAGGTCCTCAGGAGGTTTTGGTAAGCTGTTAGGAAGAAGGCTGTTTGTGGAACTCAGAGACACATCCCTGGGTTTTTGTTTGTTTTAATAACAGGAGTCCATGTTTTTCTTGCAACTCTGAGATTCTGTATTATTGCTGGACAGAGAAGTGCCCAAGAAGTAATTCATAAATCAGTCTCTCTTCAGTAATAAAGGCCTTAGCTTTGGCACAAGTCTTTAATTACTCTTATGAACTCTGCTCTTTTAAATAGAGAGCTAAAGGTGACTGAGAGCCTGCTAGTTAAGCCCAGCCCCATTGACTCAGAAAGGGGTCTCTATGGTCAAAATCAACTCACCAAGACAATAACCCACCCCGTTTCTGCCTTTGCTCAGGTTCTCTGGAGGTGGTATTTATCAGAATGTGCCGTGCCTTTGACTCTCAGAACAATACCGTGTACTTTGATGGGAAATATGCTAGCCCCGACGTCTTCAAATCCTTAGGTAAGGAAATCTCTGGGTGCTTTGTCTTCAAATCAGGACTAGGGGAAAAGATGGGAGTTGGGTGAAAGCTCTTCTTGAACAAAATGGAGATTGGTTTTTTGGACACAAGAGTTAAAGGATTTTATACCTATGTTACTTTATAGTTAATCACCGTAGAAAATATACACAGCTCAAATGCTTTTTGTCTATGTTACACGTAAGGGTCTAGAGTTTCATTTTATCTAATTGGTAATCGAAGAAATTTATGTTCTATATCCTTCCAGTTCCCTTCCAGATTTTTAAGAACCAGGTTTGCAGGGGATATATTATTCAATAAACTTGATTTTGCTACATAAAATCAAGCAAGGAGCTAAAAGTCTGCCCTTCCATACCCGTTAAATAGCAACCGTTAATGAGATATCAAAGAAAGAAAGTATAGCTAAGTGAAACTGTGACATATACTTTAAAAATAAATTATTTTAGATTTCTGTAATTCAAAGTAAGACAAAGTCATTAAGAAGAATGGGACGGTATCCAAGATATGTTGTTAAGTGATTTTAAAAACAGTTAAATGACGGAAGGTATGTATACTCGAGAAGAGCCCGTTGACACTTTTTTTTTTTTTTTTGGCTACGTTGGGTCTTCGTTGCTGCACTCAGGCTTTCTCTAGTTGCAAGGAGCAGGGGCTACTCTTCCTTACGATGCGCGGGCTTCTCATTGCAGTGGCTTCTCTTGTGGCAGAGTACAGGCTCTAGGCACGCAGGTTTCAGTAGTTGTGGCACACGGCTCAGTAGTTGCAGCACGCGGGCTCAGTAGTTGCAGCACGCAGGCTCGAGGGCGCAGGCTCAGTAGTTGTGATGCATAGGCTTAGTTGCTCCATGGCATGTGGGATCTTCCCAGACTAGGGCTCAAACCCATGTCCCCTGCATTGGGGAGGCACCACTTAACCACTGCGCCACCAGGGAAGTCCCTAGCCTGTTGACATTTAACTATATGTACATAATATGGAAATCTGAAAGAACAGACCCCAACTTAACCAGCTTTGTGGGGGTGGGTTTTTATTTTATGGGACTTTCACCTTCTGTGTTTTCAGTTCTGTAATAGTTACAATAGGGACTTCCCTGGCAGTCCAGTTGTGAAGACTCTGTGCTTCCAGTGCAGGGGGCATGGGTTCAATCCCTGGTCAGGGAAGTAAGATCCCACATGCCATGTGGCACGGCCAAAAACAAAAAAAAATTATAACAGTTTTACCACCATAATGTGTCACTTGTTTTCATTTTTAAGCGTGTTGTACAAAAAATAGAGTAGAAAACAAAAAAATGAGTGAAGTTAACACTTCAGTTAGATTATAGCTGTTAGACTCTATTGGTTAAGAGTGTGGGCTCTGAAGTTGGGCAGCTGGCTTTGAATCTCAGGCTGTCACTTCCCACTTGTGGAATCTTCAGCACATTCCTTTTCTTTCCAGGTCCATTTCCTTGCCTTTAAATTGGGGATAGTAACAATAATACCTCCCTCGTAGGGCTGTTGTGAAATAGTAGAATACCCAAAGAATCCTCTCAGAGCAGCACCTAACACAGTAATCACACCACAGAAGTTCACTCTCATTATTGCAAATGATGATGATGGTGGTGATGTTGGTGGTAATGGTGATGGTGGCTAAACTGATTTTTCTTTTAACATTTGAAAGTATTAAACTATAGAAATGTTATTACTGTTCCCTCTGATCTTCAACTGCTAGATCCCTCTTTACCTTCTTCCATATTTTACTCCTAGGATAATAACCAAACTCCTAACCTGTCTTTAATTTTGGCAGGTTGTGAAGACTTTATTAGCTTTGTATTTGAATTTGGAAAGAGTTTATGTTCTATGCACCTGACTGAAGATGAAATTGCATTGTTTTCTGCATTTGTCCTGATGTCAGCAGGTAAGATAACCAAATACAATGGTTTTTAAGTTGTCCAGGTAAAGAATTTCTACAAGTACATAACTTACAATGGCTATAGACTATTCAGAGGGACTGCCACCCTTATTAAGTCTAATTTTAAGTTCTTCAGACAACAGCCCCCTGCTACACACATACATATGCATGTACGCTTCTAAGAAGACCTCATGCCATTCTGATAAAATCTTAAGAAATGAGAATTGAATAAAATCCCATCTACAATTAACCTCCTGCTACCGAGAGAAATGCTGTGGTAGAGTAGGTGTGCCCTCCTCAACACCAATCTCCAAGATAACATGGTTTTTAAAACATTCTACTTTTTAAAAAAAATCCATTTGGATGTCATCCACGAGCCTATCTGAATTTAGTGTATGTTTTCAACCAGTACTGCCTCTTGGTGATAATCACTTTTGCACATTTGCTCTCTTCGTTTTGGAATTCTTAAACATAAAGACTTTATCCTAAATTAACAATCCTATTTCATTTGGCACTCTCTTGACAGTTTCACTTGCCTTGGACTATAAAGCAATTTTCATATTTGCCAGAAAGACTTAGCAGGATTGATATGAGTATATCATTCAGAAACATAACTATTAGAAAGGCTTAAGGGCCATGGTGGTTTCATTTGCACTCGTCCGAGCATGGCCTTAGATTTAAATGGCTGTCTTTTTGGAAAAGGAGGATCCTTCCTTCTTTCAAGTGTCAGTAAAGATGGAAAGGCTTAACACTCTGTTTTGTAACCGTCCTAGATCAGTTTTTCACTCCTTTAGGAGCAAATTTTGAAAGAGGGGTGAAAGTGGCCTGTTAGTCCCTGACTCTGCAGTGTGGTGTGATAATCTGTATCTAGGAGTCAGGAGGAGTTGGGGTGTTCTGACACCATGTTGGAAGAATACTCAGGAGTATATGGTTTTTCATATTTAGATCGCTCATGGCTGCAGGAAAAGGTAAAAATTGAAAAGCTGCAACAGAAAATTCAGCTAGCTCTTCAACACGTCCTACAGAAGAATCACCGAGAAGATGGAATACTAACAAAGGTGAGAGCCAGAGGGTTTCCAACTGACAAGCCTGAATTATCCCTTGCCCAGATCACGCCAGCCACGTCTATAAGTCAGGCCACCAGACCCCAAAAGTATCAGTAAGCAATGGCCTACGGAGAAGAGAGAAGTATCCTCATTTCAAAAAATTATCTTGGGCCAAGATTCAGGTTAAATTCTATTTATTATCGTTGGTTATAAAGCGTCCTGGAATAATAGAGCAATGATAGAATGTTTTTTTAAAGCATTAATTCATTCTGAAAAAATCCTCCACCTATCCCATCAAAGATGGGCAGAAGGCAGAGTTCATGTTCTGCCGTGATATAAACTAGGGAATTTGGAATTTAAATCTTTGATTTCAGAAAGACGAAGTGATGAAGGACTAAAACAATAGAATTAATCTATTCTACTATTAGTTCTAGTTCCATTAAAGTCATTAGTAATCAGCAGTAAATGACTTTTGTGTTTTCTTCATCAATTTCTCATTACTACCCTGTATTCAAAGCATAGGGTTTCATTTTTGCTAATTACTGTCTTTCGCAATAAAAATATAATTAGGATGTCAATTTAAAATATGATAATATCCTTCAGTGTTACTGCTAGTAGTATGTATTTGGTCTTAGAAAAATCAGCCCTATTCTTTCTTGGATTATTTTATGTGTCCTGTTGTTCCAGAAGATGCTTTGAAAGGTCTGGATTTTTCTTCCTGTCTGTTTTCTTTCTTTTCTCCTGATAGCTAGGTTAGGTCAGAAAGGGGAAGTTGGGGGGTTAAATGCGGTTTTGTTTTTGATTTTGTCCCTGTTAAATGAGACACTGAGGCAGGATTGGGAAAGAGAAGGAAAAAGAACTTTTCTCCATCTTCTTGCCCCAGTGCAAGGGTACCATTAGGGTCTTTGATTATACAGAGCACCTAACACATGGCCAAGATCGATGCTCTGGTGAAAATGTTTCTTAGGATTATTCTGGGTGGAGATAATAAATATTTTGTGCTGTGCAGTGCTTTAGAGTTTAAAAAGCATTTTTGCAAGTCGTGTTATTATACTCAACCAGTAAAAGTCAATGCTGAGACTTCCACCAGGCCTGCTGACTATTTTTTGTTTTGTTTTCCAGTCAGGGCCTTTTGCTCAGACCCAGAATTGCTTTGTTCTAGGCAGTGCTCTTTCTCCGGAAGAAGCTTGTTGTCACTGGAGTTGACTAGTACTCATTTTGCATAAAAAATGTAGGGGATGCCATCATCTCTAGTTGCAGTGACCTCACCTACCGGTGGCTGTCCCCTTGCCCACTTCTCTATTACCACATGTCTTCCTTTTCCCCAGTGGTAGAGGGCGGGGTTCAGGATGGTAGAGCAGAAAGCATGTTTGAATAGGAGGAGGAGGTGAGACACTTGGGTGCTTTTGCTTATGAACATGTTTTTGGGTTACAAATTATTTGTCTTCAAAATCATATTTAATGTATACCTGATATTCTGTGATATGACTATATCATCATTTGTTTTTACCCTTCCTCTATTACTAGACGTTTAAGTTGCTTCAGGTGTGTTTCACCATTGTAAACAATGTTGACGATCATCCAGATGCCCTGATTTTTGATGCTCACGTCTCTTCTCTCCTGACCCTATGCCCTTTCTTCCACTTACAGTTAATATGCAAGGTGTCTACATTAAGAGCCTTATGTGGACGACATACAGAAAAGCTGATGGCGTTCAAAGCAATATACCCAGACATTGTGCGACTTCATTTTCCTCCATTATACAAGGAATTGTTCACTTCAGAATTTGAGCCAGCAATGCAGATTGATGGGTAAATGTATCACCTAAGCACTTCTAGAATGTCTGAAGTCCAAACAATGAAAAACAAACAAACAAACAAATTAACCGAGACACTTTATATGGCCCTGCACAGACCTGGAGCGCCAACACACTGCACATCCTTTGGTGATCGGGGTCAGGCAAAGGAGGGGAAACAATGAAAACAAATAAAAGTTGAACTTGTTTTTCTCATGCATATGATTTCCATTATGCCTACAGATATGGACCCTTTTTCTGTCTCGACTTCTTGATCATTGACCTCTGTTTACAGCAGAAGGCGGGTACTAAAGTCAGAGGATATCCTTTTTTTGTAGCTCACTGCCCACAGACTTTCTACATCTGTCGGTAACAGCAGAGAGTCCAGCACTAATCGGTGACTGGTGTGCATAGTGGAGGTTGCGGCATTACTTTGCACAACTTGCTCTTTGTCTCATGAAGGAAGTTTTTATTTTTTCACCGATTACTGCCAGTCAGCAGGATGGCACGAAAAGGGTCCATAGCACTAGCAACAATAGCATTATAATATATTACAGGGTAAATGGGCATGAAGACTATATATAGCTAAAAGAGATATTGTTTATATATTGTTTTAATTAATATAAAATGTAGTTACTGGTGTAGCTTTTCCTGTTGAATTGATAAGGCACTTTCATTTTGCACCTTTTTTCTTTAAATTAAATGCTAGCGTGTTCACTGTCGTGTCGCATGTGCACCAGAAACACAAGTTTAACTGAGAAGGCTTGGAAGGTACGTCGGGAGGTATTTATGCTGCTGTTTACACAATTACTTTTAAAAGACTGGCTGGTCATATCTAGAAATCACGCTGTTGGATTAATTTTTTTTTTTTTTTTACACATGAATTTGGAATTAGAAACAGAACTCTCCCTAAATTGTACTTTGCTTTTGGGTCAGTTTAAGGATAGATGTGTTTATGCTTCATACAAAGTTGAGTGATTGATTGATTGGTGCTGTGGACTTACACCCTCGTGCACAGTAATTTTTCAAAGCTTTTGAAAATGCCACCTCATTGAGGCAGGGGAAGGGAGGCTCATTTTGCACAGCTGCGTAGTTATATAGACTCAGCCTCAACTTGGAGTTCTTATGCTTTAAGAACAGATCAGTAACCAGAATATTTATCAGAATCTAGCTTTTATTAGAAGAAGGACCCAAAGATTATATCTGGAGCAAATGCACACTCCCCATGTGAAAACATGAAGCATTTACTTTATGAATGTTTATGTTCTTGGTATAATCTAGGAACCCTGAGAGTTTGTCTCAGAGTGAATCGTTTCTAGACTGCCTCTAGATGGTGTCATTCTAGAACACTGTTCTCCATATTTCATAGTCAATGGATAGGAGGGCAAAGGAGGCGTGCGATGTTGAACCAGTTTCTCTTATTTAAGTATTAAATATTTTAAGCCTTTAAAGTGAAGTCGACGCAAGCTGCAAACAGTTACTTTTGTATTTATCTTCACTAGAAAACTGTGGACTGTAATTTATTTTATTAAATCTTTAGAAGATTGTTTGGCTTTTGTGTTCAGGTGAGAAATATTGAGTTGTTTTTGTTTAATTTTGTGGCTTTTATTTTTTTTAATAATTCCCAATGAGGGAAGGGAGAAGGAACAGTCTGATAGACAAGTGTGCATATTTTAAAATAGGTGACCTTTGGGGAGGTAGGCATTTAGATGATGATTTTAGTCACACTCGGAGTGGGATTCAAACTTCTGGTCTGCCATCAAAGACCATGTTTGTGTAGAAAAGAGAACATTTCCCATAGTGCAAAGGTGGGAGTTTGCAGGCAGCCGGGTTACAGCGAAGAAAGCATCTCCCCTACCACCAGGGTCCCTCCCAAATCTTCTGCAGGAATTCGGCTCCTGCTGTCGTGCTGGGTCATCAAGCACGAGTTTCCCAGAGCCCTCCACTCTGTTTTTAACTCCACTGGCTTTCTGACTTGTTTCCTGAGGGACTTGGAAACGGGGAAGGGATTATTCACACCGAAGTGTGTATGAAGCCTAAATGACATCTAAAAAATTGTTTTTTCAAAAATATAGTAAGGGTTTCACCATAAACAGAAGACGAGAGTAATACTTACTTAAATTTCTTACAAGCATATAAAACTTTATGGGACTTTATATAGAGAGGTAACTATCAGCATATAGTATTTATATTTTGGGCAAGAAGGGTTAAATCAAATTTTTTATTTAAATAAGCATAGTTCCTTGAAAGATCAATAGTATTTATACTCTGAAAAGAGTACCAAGCTTAGTTCGGTTATTTATTTATCCTTTTTTTTTTTCCTGTTGTTTCTCCTTTTGGGGGGAAATGCTGTGTTTTTATTTTGGTTTTGGTTTGTTTTTTGTTTTTGTTTTTTTGTCATTCTGATTCACTAAATTTGGGGATGGTTTTATTAAAGTCTATTAACTTCTTTTTAACCAAAGCTTTCTGAATATGACCAGCCTCAGGTGCTAGCGCATTAAAGAGCAACTAAACCTAATTCCAGTGTCCATTTGTGAAATGATGAGAGCTAATTGAACTTCTCTGAGGGTGAGAGAGAACACAATGTTGAACTTAAATTCCTTTTCCCAGAAAGGATTTTGCATGTACCTAATGCAAAAAAATAAAATAAAATAAAAAAGATGCTCTAATCTCAGTAATAGTCACACTATGGTGACATTGCTTTTAGAGTAAACCAAGATACATTGACATGATGCTGCTACTAGGTCTTTGTGAAAGAAAACAGGGTGTGAGACTTTAAGACTAAGTACATCGGCAGTGTAGGAACAGAATAGAGAGTAATAGAGGCGTGCTAGGTGAAATGAGGGAACAACTATTATTCGGATCGAAGTTGGGATCTGAAGTTAAACAATAATCTCTGTTGAAAAAAATATGAGGTACAGAGAAGGATGTGAAAAACTTTGTATTTTTATTTTCTTCCTTATTATAGAAACACCTGTGTGATGACACAAAGTACTTGGTGATATAGAACAATTACTATTAATCGTTCTTATAATTAAAATTTCCTAATCTTAAATGTCCAATAGTCTTTTAAAGATTGGAATCACATCATTGTTATCCCGGCTGCTGTAATGCCTTTTATACAATTTTTTAACATAGGGTAAATAAGGCTTTTGCACAGAGCCTGAATACCTTCGGTTACAGTGGTGTCCAAATGATTGCATTATATTGTGAAGAAACTGGCCGTGGTCACAATGAAATCAAAAGTGCAGGTGAAAGTGCTTTTGGGGGCAGTTTGCAAATTGCGGTTAAAGCTACGGATTTTTTTTTTTTTTTTTTAAACTGTTCAGCATCCCAATTCGCTTTAAAGGTGTGGGGTTTTTTTTAGGTCTTCAGCATCCTAATTCACCCTTTCTAACTTAAAGAAAACATGACTTAAGACACTGCTTCTAAGTTTGGTTGTTCTTTATAGTGTGGATATTCAGATCTCTGTGAGTGTATGGGGGTGGGCTGAGGGTGAGATGAGGAGGGAGTGTGTGTGTGTGTGTGTGTGTGTGTGTGTGTGTGTTTATGTCTGTGTGTATGGTTTTCGTGTGTATGATGTGTGTGTGTGTGTCGAACCGCTTCTAGGCTACTAAGTGTCAATGGAAAAGAAAATGTATTCAAAATACTTAAATCAAAACTAGAAGATGGAAAAAAAAAGATTTATTCTATACAAAGCCTTGTCTGGACCACTTTAGAGAGACTTCTATTTTTTTAACCCTTCTATAAATATTTGATGGCACTTGAAATATTCCTGCAATAAAATGTGATTTGTGTAAAGAAAAAAAAAAAAGATTTTGTAATGTGAAACAAAGAAAGAAAGTAATGTAATTTTCTAAAAAAAAAAATACAAACAAACAAACTTTGTATTATTTTCTTGATGGAATTTGTCTATCTGTCTTTGGAAAACTTTTTATTTCATTGAATGTGCCATAGTAGAAATACGTGTTTTTAGTTTTAGACTTAAGGGAATAGCTGTTTGTGTTCCGACATTCCAAAATGCAAAACAACCTAGTAGAATCTTTAATGAAAAGGTTTAAGTAGGATGTAAGCTTCTCTCATTGTTGCTTTTTTGCACATGTTCTTCATTCCTCTCTAGTGCAATATGTACATAGAGCACTTGCGGGTGTACCTTGATCCCTCAGGGAAAAATACATATTTGTACAGTTTTTTTGGTTTTGTTTCTTGTTTTGTTTTTTGTGGGTTTTTTGCCTTTTGTTTTTGGCTAAGGAATGTCGACTGAATCACTTGTTATTGTTGAGGGGCAGCCAGATAATAATCCTAAAGCCACTGTTTCAAACATTGATTGTTTAAATCATGTGTCCTTCCAGTGCTATTATTTGAAGATAATAATAATAAAAAGTTATTTTCTGACAGTTCTTTGTGCTGATTGGTGAAAGAAAAGGGTAAATAAGCACCTTACAATTGACTTACTGTGAATGACAATCCATCTTGATATCAACAATAGAAGCCCTATCACTTTGGAGTTGGGGTTAAGAGTCAGAAACAATGTGCTCAGGGATCTTCTAAAACTCTTAAAACAGGGTGGCCAGTACTACTGGGACAAAATTGTGTTTTGTGTTGTTAATAATAATGATAATACTATCCCTCCAAGGCACAAGTGAACTGTGTAGAACTGCGCGTGTGTATAAACTTCACTGTTGTTCATTTTGTTTTGTTCAGAATGTATGCGTTCTTCAGTCTTGTATGCTTAAAAACATTGAATAACTTCCAAAGCAGTACAAAGTGATGCCAGTATGTTCAAAAGATAAATTAATAGGTCATATGTCTACAAAGAGCATCATTCAGAGTACAGTCCTGCCTACTCCACTTACCATTTCTCTAATAATTAAAATATTCTTGATAAATATATTTATAGCATTACATGTTAAAAACTATTATTCCAAATCCTATATAGCATGGATAAAATTTTTTTAAAGCAGTAATGAGAGCCCTGCCTATCAGTGCAGTGAGAGAGGTAAAAGATGAAACATTGTTTTTTTTCCCCCCCAAATACCAGCAAATAACTCCCATTTTCATCATATAAACCAAAAAAATCTCTTTATGTAACACAATTCTTCTACTTCCGCATTTGTAATCTGTACGAGAGCTAATGTTTAAAGACAAACAAAACCCACCAGTGTAACAGCAACGTGAGCCAGCTTTTAGGGTTACATTTTACATTTTTGAAACATTTTG